TTGGTTGTGCCTTACTACTCAAGAGTTTCCCACTGTAGTAAAAATGTGTTTCTGTCCTTGTTGTCCAGATTTTATTTCTATAAGAAAGCACGTTAAATAATGCAAATATTAACCACCTCAAGTCTGGACACTTTTACCCCCTTCCAGACCAGGTCATTTTTTCAGTTTTCAGCGCTGTCCACACTTTGAAAAACAATTAGTCATGCAACAGTGTACCCAAAATCATTTTTATATATTTTTTTTTAGACAGATAGAGCTTTCTTTTGGTGGTATTACCACTGTTTTTTTTATTACTTTTTGCTATATAAATGAAAAAAATACAGAAAATGCTAAAAAAAATATGTTTTACTTAGTTTCTGTTATATTATGTTATATTTAATTATATTAAATGTTGCAAATTATAATCTTTCTTCATAAATTTAGGCCAAAATGTATTCTGCTACATTTCTTTGGTAAAAATAACCAAAATCAGTGTATTTTATTTAGCCTGTGTGAAAGTTATAGAATCTTATATTATTATCTCATATATTATCTTATATTATTAGTTATAGAAAGTTATAGAACCAACCTTTCCACATCTGCCACCCCCCTCTGCCAATCCCTTCACTGGCTCCCGATTGCACAACGCATTCAATTCAAATTACTAACTCTGACATACAAAGCCATTCACAATGCTACCCCAAACTACCTAACTGACCTGATACCCTAATACCACCCTACCTGTGCCTTTCGCTCCTCACCGGGACCTCCTACTCTCCAGCTCCCTAGTCTCCTCCTCCCACGCCCGACTGCAGGACTTCTCCAGGACTTCACCCATCCTCTGGAACTCCCCTACCCAATCCATCAGACTGTCACCTACCCTTCTCACCTTCAGGCGCACCCTGAAAACCCATCTCTTCAGGGAAGCCTACCCCACCCTCACCTAACAACCGATCACCTCCACTTCTCCTACTACTCCATCCCCCACTGCTGCTTCCTCCTGTACCACTATCCCCTCCCTCCTAGATTGTAAGCTCGAAAGAGCAGGGCCCTCGAACCCCTCGTGTAATTTATTGTACTCTATTGTCTCATGTTCTGTCCCCTTCCCTAATGTACAGCGCTGAGCAAACCCTTTGGCGCTATATAAACACTGTATAATAATAATAATAATCTGCAAACTATGGTAAATACAGTATGAAAATTGATCACTCCTATATGCTCCTCTGGGGTACCCTTTGGGACCAGGAGGTGACACTGGTGGGTTATTACGCGCCAAATAGATTTCAACACAAATTTTTTTCTCACTTGTTGAACGTGATTTCACACCACCAACGTGGTATTCTCTTATTGCTGGGCGATTCGAATGTTGCTCTTAATTCCTCTGTCGATCGCCATTACCTGACGTGAGGGACCCCTAGCCACGACCTTTCTCAGGAATCTAAATTGCGTGATACGCTGCAAGCTTATGGTTTTGTTGATGTCTGGCGGGAAATGCATCCTACGTCGCGGGAATACACTTTTTATTCGGCCCCACACTTGAGCTTTTGTAGAATAGATCACGTTTTCATTTCTTTCCAACATTTATCTTTAATTCAAAAGATTGTCATCTCGACCTCACCCTGGTCTGATCATGACCCATTGGTCTTTTCACTGTGTCTTTCTGGTATGGCTCGGCCCTCTTTTCTGTGGTGACTCAATGAATCCCTGCTCACCACTCAGGCTTCTTGCTCCCAGGTTCTTTTGCACATTCAATCCTATTTTACGGACAATGTGGGTTCTGTATCCTCGGCCGTTTCTCTGTGAGAGGCTCACAAAGCCACCATTAGGGGTCATTTGATTCAGATCGCCTCGTCCAGGAAACGGGCCAGAGAGAAGAAGATGTTGAAATTGACCTCGAGATTGGCCGTGGTGGACGCTACTTGGAAAGCCTGGCTGACTACGGTCAATAGGAAAGCTGGAGATGTGGTGGCTGCTGAACTTGATCTTCTCTCCACTACACGAGCTGAGAAGGCTTTACCTTGGGCCGGACATAGGTTTTTATACATGCACCAATAAACCGGGGCCAATGTTGGCCAAGAAACTTAATTCGCTAGGTCGCATGCATAAACCTGTTCAGCTCCGAATGAGGGGCGGTGGCCTTACCTCGAACCCTGTGAAGATTACTCATAGATTTGCTAATTTTTTGTCCTCTCTTTACCAAAAACCGAACACCTTTGTCGCTGAACATGCTGATAGTTTTTTCGCTGAGCTGCACCAACCCTCTTAATCTGTTGCAGCCCGAGATCCCTGAATGTGGATATCTCTGTATCTGAACTCTACCAAGCCATCAAATCTTTGAAGGCCTCCAAGGCTTCAGGCCCAGATGGGTTTTCTGGGCTCTACTAAAAAAAATTTGCCATCGTTCTGGTTCCTCATTTGACGGCCTTTTTCAATTCTTTGAAGAAGGGTTCTCAGCTTTCTTGTTAGTCTCTTCAGGCGCATATTACTATGATCCCTAAGAAAACTGAAGATGCTTTTGAACTGCAAGCTTTCAGACCGATCTCGCTGCTAAATGTGGACTTGAAGATTTTGGGAAAGGTTCTGAGGATCCGAATTAATAAGTATCTACTCTCACTTATTCATCGAGATCAGGTTGGCTTTGTTCTGGGGCGACAAGCTGCTGATAACATCTGTAAAGTCATCCATCTCATTCATATTTTTACATCGCCGCAGGATACCAGGGTTCCTTTTATTCCTGGACATTGATAAAAGTGTTCGATTCGCTTTCTTGGGAAATATTTCTCGCTTTCTTTCTTGGGAATATTTCTCGCTGTCTAGATGGGGGTTTGGTGACACATTTCTGGCTTGGATCTCAACTTTATATTCATCTTCCTCGACCTCTGTTAAATATGCAGGGTTTTTTTCCTCATCCTTCCCTGTTTTCACCTGCTCTTTTTGTTCTCACTCTTGAACCTTTAGCTGCAGCCATTTGAAATCACCCGGATATTTCTGGTGTTCCCTATGCCGGCACTCAATACAAGGCCAACTTTTATGGGGATGATGCCCTTTTGGCTTTAACCAATACTCTCATCATTCTCCCCAACCTCCAGGTCATATTGGACCATTTTTCGACTATATCTGGCCTTTGCATCAATTTGTCTAAAACCACAGCATTGAATATTACGCTTCCTGCCGACCTGGTTGAACGGTTGCAGACACAATTTCCCTACCATTGGGCATCCCAGTCTCTGGCTTATCTTGGCGGTACACTTACTTCCTCCTACTCTGCCTTATTTTCAGCTAATTGTTACCCTTTAATGTTACTTCCCTGCTTCATTCTTGGCAGTTTCCTTCTTTATCATGGATTGGCCGGATACATGCTGTCAAGATGACTATCTTTCTCCACACTCTCCCTATTCAGGTCCCTGCGTCTTTTCTTCGTGTACTGCAAAGCTGGATTCTCAGTTTTATTTGGGCTCATAAACGTCCCAGAGTGCCTAGAGCCACTCTGTATAATCATAGATTACAGGGATGTTTGGAAGTTCCACATGTTTCTAGATACTACTTGGCGGCTCAGATTTTCCAGTTGCCTATGCTTCATGCCACGACAGATATCCCGTTATGGGTACTCTTGGAATTACCTAACTGTGCTCTGCTTTCGTTAACTACATTGCTTTGGCTCCCACCTAAGTTGCGCCCTCCGGATTTGAGCCCTATCATGCTTTCGTTTACGAACCTGGGATTCTGTAAAATATTCGGATAATTTGATTTTATAATTTCTACCTCTTTTGCTGATTACGCATAATCCTTTATTTCCGCCAGGCCTAGAAAATCCCCCTTCTTTCTCTTGGTGGATCTCCCATGGCTTTGTTATTGTACATGATTTTCTGAGTGCTTGTACGTTTCCATTATGGGAGTCTCTTTGAGAATCAAGGAGGGTCCCGCCATGGGAATATTATCGGTATTTGCAATTGTGCCACTGGGTCCTATCCATCCGTCGCACCTCTACATACCCTTACTGCACAACGCTTTTTGAGCATGTTTGTCAGCATTCCCCAGGGTCCCCTGGTCTCATTTCTGTAATTTATGCCTCCCTTAACAGTAAGTCCTCCTCACCACCCCTGTTTCTCAATGGGAGTAAGATCTGGGTGTCTTGATTGCGGAGGAGGATTGGCATAGGGCCTGGGGGATGGTGGCGAAATGTTCATTCAATACAGTCACTCTTGAGGCAGCCTACAATGTTCTCCTGCGGTGGTACTGGGTCCCAGCTGGGACTGCTCACTTTAATCTGACTGGCGGAGATAGATGTTTCTGGAACTGTGGTCTACGCGGGGAAGTCTTGCACATCTGGTGGTTGTTCCTGCGATTGATAGGCTTCTGGTCTAGGGTTTTTTGTTTGCTACAAACAAAATTTCATATTACGGTCTGTAGGGATGCAAGGGTGACCCTCCTGCATTGCCCAATTTTGGGCCTGTCTAGGTCTCAGCAGAAATTGGCATCCTACCTATTTATTTCAGCCAAACGTGCTATAGCTCAAGCTTGGAGAACACCTTCGGTTGTCTTCCAGGCAGTGAAGACCCGGATGAATGCTATGTTGATCATTGAACAGATGTCTAGCATTCTTTATGATTCTCAGCTGAGATTCCTTAAGGTTTGGGAACCTTGGATACGTTATTCCTTGTCATCCCTGCCTCCTACTAGTTATGGCCTCTTATAGTCGCTGCCTATGCTAGCCCTGGATCCGTGATTCTTCTAGTTTCCTTTTCCTCCATGTGTTCTTTCTGATTCCTCTTTTTGTTTGTTTTATTTTTTTCTTTCCTCTTCTTTTTTTTGGGTAATATGTTGGATTACTGCTGCTAATATTTGGTTTGGCTTTTTGCCATCCCTGCCCGCTGGCGATCCGGTACCTGATAACCCGGTGCCCGCTGTCGTGCCAATTGACTCAGAGCCCACTGTCGTGCCTGGTGACTCGGTGCCCACGGCCTTGCCAGATGACGCGGTGCCCGCTGTCAAGCCAAATGACCTGATGCCTGGTGACCCCATGCCCGCTGTCGAGCCAGACAATCCAATGTCTGACCCAGTGCCCGTGGTCATGCCAGTTGACTCGGAACCCACTGTCGTGCCTGGTGACTCGGTGCCCACTGCCTTGCCAGATGATGCGGTGCCCGCTGGCGAGCCAAATGACCTGATGCCTGGTGACCCGATGCCCGTTGTCGTGCCTGATGATCCGGTGCCCGCTGCTCGCCTCGGGGGCCCGGCGCCTGCCGCTCCTCCTGGGGGCCCGGGTGCCTCCTGTTGCTCCTCCTAAGGGCTTGGCGCTTGCCGCCCCTCCTGGGGGCCCGGCGCCCGCCGCCCCTCCTGGGGGCCTGGCGCCCTGCCGCCCTCCTGGGGGCCCGGCGCCCCCACCTGGGGCCCCGGCGCCTGCCGCCCCTCCTTGGGGGCCCGATGCCCGTTTGTTTTCGCTCCGCCTGGAGTGGCCCGGTGCCGGCTGCTCCTGCCGGGGAGTTGCCCGGCTCCCGCCACTTCCGCCTGGTTGGGTGGCCCAGGTGCCTGCCTGCTCCGCCTGGTGGCCCGTGCCTGCTGCTCCGCCTTGTGATACCGGTGTCCAGCCCAATGTGCCTCTGCCCGGCAGACCAGCTCGATGTGCCTCTGCCCGAGTCCAGCTTTGATGTTGCCTCTGCCCGAGTCCAGCCCGATGTGCCTCTGCCCCGGAGGTCCCCCAGCCCGATGTGCCTCTGCCCGAGAGTCCAGCCCTGTGGTGCCACTGCTCGGAAGTCCCTGCCCCGTTTGTGCCGCTGCCCGAGTCCTGCTGGTGTGGTGCCGCTCCCGGAGAACCTGCCCGGTTGCCGCTGGGGCCCGGAGTCCTGCCTGTGTGCCGCTGCCCCCCAGTCCTGCCCGGTGTCCCTCCAGGAATGGACTTGCCAGAATAGTGGGACCACCTCCTTGTGGGCTGCAGTCCAGGGTGGCCAAGGGTGTCCGAGCATCAGAGACCAACCCGCAGCCGCCAAACACATGAAGCTGATAAACAGATGTATTTTAAGGATGGCCAGACCGCAGTCTGGGCCTTGGTGTGTGTTTTCCTGGGCCCCCGTATCTTGTTACCCCCATTCCGTTCCGTCCCTGTCCCCCTTCCCGACGATTTGTTGTGACCTGCCTGATCCCGGGCTTGCTGACTTCTCCTGTTGATCCCTGGGTTTACCCTCCCCTTCTCTGCCTGACCCCCGTACCACCCGCCCTAGTTTCGTACCCCCCCGTGACCTGAACTCTTGCCTCTCCTCCCCTTTTACCTGCCCGATTTTTTATGACCCGCCTCCTAAGACACTTGCATTGTATGTATTG